CCATTATCCGCCCCACACCCCATATCCGCCCCACACCCATATCCGCCCCACACCCCATATCCGCCCCCACACCCCCATAATCCGCCCCACACCCCATATCCGCCCCACACCCCATATCCGCCCCACACCCCATATCCGCCCCACACCCCATATCCGCCCCACACCCCATATCCGCCCCACACCCATATCCGCCCCACACCCCATATCCGCCCCACACCCCATATCCGCCCCACACCCCATATCCGCCCCACACCCCATATCCGCCCCACACCCCATATCCGCCCCACACCCCATATCCGCCCCACACCCCATATCCGCCCCACACCCCATATCCGCCCCACACCCCATATCCGCCCCACACCCCATATCCGCCCCACACCCCATATCCGCCCCACACCCCATATCCGCCCCACACCCCATATCCGCCCCACACCCCATATCCGCCCCACACCCCATATCCGCCCCACACCCCATATCCGCCCCACACCCCATATCCGCCCCACACCCCATATCCGCCCCACACCCCATATCCGCCCCACACCCCATATCCGCCCCACACCCCATATCCGCCCCACACCCCATATCCGCCCCACACCCCATATCCGCCCCACACCCCATATCCGCCCCACACCCCATATCCGCCCCACACCCCATATCCGCCCCACACCCCATATCCGCCCCACACCCCATATCCGCCCCACACCCCATATCCGCCCCACACCCCATATCCGCCCCACACCCCATATCCGCCCCACACCCCATATCCGCCCCACACCCCATATCCGCCCCACACCCCATATCCGCCCCACACCCCATATCCGCCCCACACCCCATATCCGCCCCACACCCCATATCCGCCCACACCCCATATCCGCCCCACACCCCATATCCGCCCCAACCCCATATCCGCCCCCACACCCCATATCCGCCCCACACCCCATATCCGCCCCCCACACCCATATCCGCCCCACACCCCATATCCGCCCCACACCCCATATCCGCCCCACACCCCATATCCGCCCCACACCCCAGATCCGCCCCACACCCCATATCCGCCCCACACCACCATATCCGCCCCACACCCCATATCCGCCCCACACCCCATCTACCCGCCCCACACCCCATATCCGCCCCACACCCCATATCCGCCCCACACCCCATATCCGCCCACACCCCATATCCGCCCCACACCCCATATCCGCCCCACACCCATATCCGCCCCACACCCCATATCCGCCAACACCCCATATTCCGCCCCACACCCCATATCCGCCCCACACCCCCATATCCGCCCCACACCCCATATCCGCCCCACACCCCATATCCGCCCCACACCCCATATCCGCCATCCACACCCCATATCCGCCCCACACCCCATATCCGCCCCACACCCCATATCCGCCCCACACCCCATATCCCGCCCCACAAACCCCCATATCCGCCCACACCCCCCATATCCGCCCCACAGTCCCCATATTCCGCCCCACACCCCATATCCGCCCCACACCCCATATCCGCCCCCACACCCCATATCCGCCCCACACCCCATATCCGCCCCACACCCCCATACCGCCCACACCCCATATCCGCCCCACACCCCATTATCCGCCCCACACCCCATATCCGCCCCACACCCCATATCCGCCCCACAACACCCATATCCGCCCCACACCCATATCCGCCCCACACCCCATATCCGCCCCACCACCCCATATCCGCCCCACACCCCATATCCGCCCCACACCCCATATCCGCCCCACACCCCATATCCCACACCCCAAGCCCCAAATCCAGGGCCCCAAGCCTCAAGGCCATCGCCTCACCTCTCTCTCATTGAGTGCCATCATGTCCATGAGCCGCCCCACGCCCTGTGGGATCACCAATATGGCCTCCTGTAGCCTGCATGCATGTACGCACCCACGCACCCACGCTCCCATATCATCATACATCCATGCCATCACACATGCCATGACATGTCACCTTACATGCCATGCAACCATACATGCCATGCAACCATACATGCCATGCAACCATACATGCCATGCAACCATACATGCCATGCAACCATACATGCCATGCAACCATACATGCCATGCAACCATACATGCCATGCAACCATACATGCCATGCAACCATACATGCCATGCAACCATACATGCCATGCAACCATACATGCCATGCAACCATACATGCCATGCAACCATACATGCCATGCAACCATACATGCCATGCAACCATACATGCCATGCAACCATACATGCCATGCAACCATACATGCCATGCAACCATACATGCCATGCAACCATACATGCCATGCAACCATACATGCCATGCAACCATACATGCCATGCAACCATACATGCCATGCAACCATACATGCCATGCAACCATACATGCCATGCAACCATACATGCCATGCAACCATACATGCCATGCAACCATACATGCCATGCAACCATACATGCCATGCAACCATACATGCCATGCAAACCATACATGCCATGCAACCATACATGCCATGCAAACCATACATGCCATGCAACCATACCATGCCATGCAACCATACATGCCATGCAACCATACAGCCATGCAACCATACATGCCATGCAACCATACATGCCATGCAACCATACATGCCATGCAACCATACATTGCCATGCAACCATACATGCCATGCAACCATACATGCCATGCAACCATACATGCCATGCAACCATACATGCCATGCAACCATACATGCCATGCAACCATACATGCCATGCAACCATACATGCCATGCCAACCATACATGCATGCAACCCATACATGCCATGCAACCATACATGCCATGCAACCATACATGCCATGCAACCATACATGCCATGGCAACCATACATGCCATGCAACCATACATGCCATGCAACCATACATGCCATGCAACCATACATGCATGCAACCATACATGCCATGCAACCATACAATGCCATGCAACCATACATGCCATGCAACCATACATGCCATGCAACCATACATGCCATGCAACCATACATGCCATGCAACCATACATGCCATGCAACCATACATGCCATGCAACCATACATGCCATGCAACCATACATGCCATGCAACCATACATGCCATGCAACCATACATGCCATGCAACCATAACATGCCATGCAACCATACATGCCATGCAACCATACATGCCATGCAACCATACATGCCATGCAACCATACATGCCATGCAACCATACATGCCATGCAACCATACATGCATGGCAGCCATACATGCCATGCAACCATACATGCCATGCAACCATACATGCCATGCAACCATACATGCCATGCAACCATACATGCAATGCAACCATACATGCCATGCAACCATACCTGCCATGCAACCATACATGCCATGCAACCATACATGCCATGCAACCATACATGCATGCAAACCATACATGCCATGCAACCATACATGCCATCAACCAATACATGCCATGCAACCATACATGCCATGCAACCATACATGCCATGCACCATACATGCCATGCAACCATACATGCCATGCAACCATACATGCCATGCAACCATACATGCCATGCACCATACATGCCATGCAACCATACATGCCACTGCAACCATACATGCCATGCAACCATACATGCCATGCAACCATACAGTGCCATGCAACCATACATGCCATGCAACCATACATGCCATGCAACCAACATGCGCATGCAACCATACATGCCATGCAACCATACATGCCATGCAACCATACATGCCATGCAACCATACATGCCATGCAACCATACATGCCATGCAACCATACATGCCATGCAACCATACATGCCATGCAACCATACATGCCATGCAACCATACATGCCATGCAACCATACATGCCATGCAACCATACATGCCATGCAACCATACATGCCATGCAACCATACATGCCATGCAACCATACATGCCATGCAACCATACATGCCATGCAACCCTACATGCCATGCAACCATACATGCTCATGCACCCATACATGCCATGCAACATACATGCCATGCAACCATACATGCCATGCAACCATACATGCCATGCAACCATACATGCCATGCAACCATACATGCCATGCAACCATACATGCCATGCAACCCTATACATGCCAATGCAACCATACATGCCATGCAACCATACATGCCATGCAACCATACATGCCATGCAACCATACATGCCATGCAACCATACATGCCATGCAACCATACATGCCATGCAACCATACATGCCATGCAACCATACATGCCATGCAACCATACATGCCATGCAACCATACATGCCATGCAACCATACATGCCATGCAACCATACATGCCATGCAACCATACATGCCATGCAACCATACATGCCATGCAACCATACATGCCATGCAACCATACATGCCATGCAACCATACATGCCATGCAACCATACATGCCATGCAACCATACATGCCATGCAACCATACATGCCATGCAACCATACATGCCATGCAACCATACATGCCATGCAACCATACATGCCATGCAACCATACATGCCATGCAACCATACATGCCATGCAACCATACATGCCATGCAACCATACATGCCATGCAACCATACATGCCATGCCATCGCACATGCCACATGCCGTGTCTCCCACGTCCCACATACCATGCCACCAACCAAACATGCCACGCCACAGGCAGGTCAAAAGATCATGACCCCATGCAAGCACAAGCAAGTGAGCATTTTCAACTAGAACTGCTGGATGTGACACAAAGAATTCGGAGTTTGTATTCCAAACTAGAGATTGCTAGTATAAGCAAGGTGCACACTACAGAAATGAATTCACCACTGGGAAAGAGACTTTGTGCTCCCTTTTGAGTCGACTCAAAAGTCAGCAGGACACACACGATAGGAATGAATACACCACTGGAAAGGAGACTATGTGCTCCCTCACACATTTGATGAGACGATTTTTACATTTCTCAAGAATCTGCCTCCTCACCTGTGAGGGCAGTTGGAGAGGAGAATGGTGAGCAGTTGCACGGTGTGGTAGCGAATGTAAAAATCCTCCTCCTCCTGAAGGGCAGGGAAAACGAAGCCAGCAAAGATAGGACGAGGGAGAAGGGAGGAGGAGGAGTGGGGGGTGGGGTGTCAGAGGGAGGGAAGGGAGGAGCGGGGGGGGGAGGGTGAGAAAAGGAGACGAGGTAGATGATTAGGAAGCAAGGAAGACAGGAGGATGGCATGAATAGGCACCCAGTACAAAAATCACACAGCTTAAGTCAGTCTTGCCCTCGCTCCTCTCGCTCCTCTCCCCCTCCCTCGCTCCTCTCGCCCTCCCTCGCTCCTCTCGCCCTCCCCCACTCCTCTCGCCCTCCCTCGCTCCTCTCGCCCTCCCTCGCTCCTCTTCGCCCTCCCTCGCTCCTCTCGCCCTCCCCCACTCCTCTCTGTTAGAACTTGAGCTTAGAATCCAAGCATTAGTAATTAGCTCAAGGCTCTTTTAAGTACATTTGAAATGGGCAAGGTAAGGGTGGGGAGAGAATCGGGCACAATCCGAGGGAATTGGGGTTAATCCTTAGGCAATCTCCAATTGGTGGGTTGGAGATTGCTTGGAGATCACATTTGGGTTTGGTTGGGATGTGGGAGTACACCCAACCAAACACAAAGTGCAAACTACACTAAACTAGGATATGAAAAGTACAAATGTGAGATTGAGGTCTAACATTAACACCCCCCCATAGGCGTCAATCGAACTCATGGCAGAGAAGATGGAGCGCAGAGCCCCATGGCGCCTAGAAGGCGATGGTGAGGAACCTTCCCAAAGGGCTTGGTGAACAGATCAGCCAAGTTGCATTCAGAAGCCACATACTCCACATTGAGCTGCTCCCGCTGGACAAGGTCACGGTTGAAGAAGTGCCGAAGTTTGATGTGCTTGGTGCGAGTGTGGTACACGGGATCTTGGGAGAGGTGGATGGTGCTCTTGTTGTCACACCAGAGGGTGGGAGTGGGCTGAGGGTAGCCAAGCTCCTGGAGTAGGAAGGTGAGCCAACGGGCCTCTTGAGCCGCCATGGTAACAGCATAGAGCTCTGCCTCACAGGAGGAGAGGGAGACTGCAGACGACCGGGTGGAGCGCCAGCTGACAATTCCGCTCCCAAGGGTGAAGCAGTAGCCTTGGGAGGAGCGTCGGTCGGTTTGGTCATCAGCCCAGGAGGAGTCTGTGTACCCTTCCAGTCGAGGAGGAGAAACCCCACCAAGGGTGAGGACATGAGACTTGGTTTCCTGCAGATAGCGCAGCACACGCTTTGCCGCTTTCCAGTGAAGGTCAGTGAAGCGTCCAGGAGCCACATAACGAGAGAGGACACTGACAGTGTATGCCAGATCAGGCCGGGTGCACATCATGGCGTACATGAGCGACCCAACAAGCTCTGGGTATGGCTCACTATAGGCCTCTGGTGTGGGGACAGCTGGAGCGGTGAGGAGGTGCTGTAGTGGCAGCGGGGTGGCCATGGGTGTGCACAACTCCATCTCAAAGCGCTTGAGTACATTGTTGATGTAGAACTCCTGGGAGAGTGAGATGGTGCGAGCCTGGCGATCACGAGTGATCTCCATCCCCATGTAGTGCTTGAGGTCACCGAGGTCTTTCATCAGGAGGGCTTTGCTTAGGGCCGCCTGGACAGAGGTTATCTGGGCCGAGTCCTTGGCAACGAGGATGAAGTCATCGACGTAGACAAGGATGTAAAATGGCTCAGAGTGACGGCGAATGAAGAGAGACGGTTCAGCAGATGATGGGTGAAAGTCCAAGGAGAGGACTTCTTTCACTTTATTGTGCCATTCACGAGGGGATTGTTCGAGGCCATAAACAGGGCGATTCAGCTTCCAGACAGTGTTGGGAGGGAACTCTCCTGGAAAGCCTTCAGGTCGGTCCATAAACACAGTCTTTTTGAGGTGTCCTTGCTGGAATGCTGAAGAGGCGTCCATGGATTTGATCTCAAAGTCGTCTCGTGCGGCTACATCCAAGAGCATGAACTGTGAGTGGTTTGGATGTGGGAGAGAAGGTTTTGAAGAAGTCAAAGTACTATTGCTGAGTGAATCCCTTGGCCACATAGCGTGCTTTGAACACTGGTGCCTCGTCCGGAAGCTGCTTCACTCGAAACAGCCACTTGCCCCCAACGATGTTAACTCCTGGAGGTGGAGTTTCATCGTCAAAGGAGTGGTTGCGAGTGAAGGCTTCACACTCAGCTTCCATGGCAGTGCGCCACTCGGCAGCATGGGGACCCGAAAGAGCCTCTTGGACGGTGAGAGGGATAGGAATGGTCGGGTTCTCCGAGAAGTTGAGCAAGGGGGATTCAGTGATATCGGGGAAGATGTGCGAAAGCTGAGGAATGACAGCGTGGAGATCACACAGCTCCTCATGCCTGTCTTACAGAAGGGTAGAGGGCACATCCCCCCCAACAAGAGGAGTCGGAGTGATCAGTGAGCATCGAATGGCAAGTGCCAGTGGAGGAGCAGCCCCATGCGACCGAGTGCCATGAGCCACCGGAGAAGAGGGTGGAGCAGGCGTTCCTGGAGGGGACGGCTTAGGGGGCTTGGGGAGAGGGATCGGCCGTCGTTGGTACGTGATTAGTTTGCTCGGCTGTGGGAGAGCAGGTTCTTGAGTGGAGGAGGGAACGGGGGGAGGAGGTGGGGCGGGAGGGTTTGACCGCCGATGGTATGTGATTGTTGCGCTTGGTGGTGGGGGCGCAGTTGGCAGAGTGGCAGAAGGGGGAGATGGAGGAGCAGCTGCCGAGGACACCGGAGAGGTCGGGCCAGAGACCTCAGACGGGGATGGTGCGATGGCAGGAGAAGCAGGAGGTGAGGGAGCTGGTGCAGGCGAAGGTTCAGAAGGCGCATCAAAGTCAGCCCACGCAAGAGAGGGTGGTCCGGAGGGGGGGATCCCCCCCCGAGGTAGAAGGGGCGAATCTCATCAAAAACGACATTTCGGCTCCGGACGAGTTGTTGAGTGGAGGGGTTGAGGAAAAGGTAGTCAAGGGAGTCAGCGTTATGACCAAGGTATATGCACGTTTGAGTTTTGGGACCAAGCTTGCCACCTTGTCGCCGTCGAGCCTGTGGGTTGAGGAGTACATAGGCGGTGCACCCCCAGACGCGAAGGGGGTGAGCAGTGGGTGTTTTCCCGAGCCAGAGTGTGGTGGGAGTGGTGTCGGGAAGATGCGGGTGGGGGTAGAGGTTGTAGATGAGGGCGGCATGATAGATGGCGTACCCCCAGAGTGAGAGTGGTGCGTTGGAGTGGCTGAGGAGGCAGCGAGTGATCTGCGTCAGTGTGTGATTGCAGCTCTCTGCTATGTCGTTCTGCTGTGGGCTGTCAGGAAGGGTGAAGTTTTGCAGGATGCCAAGGGAGGACCAGAAGGCTTTGAGCTTGTCGTTGCAAAACTTCACCACCACCATCCGAATGAAGACGTTTAATCTTGGTGCCAAAGGAGGTATGTGCCTGGTTAACATATGCCATGATTGCCTCCGGGGCCTCAGCCTTAGTGTGGAAGAGGTGCACAGAGACGTAGCGAGTGTGGTCATCAACTATCAGAAGGAAATAGCGATGGCCACCTCGTGCGGCAACCGGGGCAGGGCCCCAGACGTCCATGTGCACTAGGTCCAGTGGGGCTGTTGCGACTGAGGGTGAGGCAGGGTGGGGTTGTTGGCGTAGCTTGCTCTTGGTACAGTCAAGGCACGTGGGAGCGGGCGAGTGAGGTGGTGGAGGAAGTGAGGCTGGCAGGCCGAGAAGAAACTTCTTGGAGGCCATGTCAGCAAGCGTGCTGAAGTTTGGGTGCCCGAGCCGATGGTGGTAGAGGATGGTCGGGTTGGAGAAGCTGCGACATGAGCATGGTGCGATAACAGCCTATGCTTGGGTGGTTGACACCTGTGGGAAAGGTACTCGCAGCGTGTAAAGACCGCTGCTATTGAGGGTGAAGCGAGCCAAGATCTTGTTGGAGAGTGGGTTGATGATGTCACAATAGTCCTCGTTCTTCGAGAAGATGGTGCGTGACCCCGCCTCCTGAATAAAAAAAAATGTCAGAGGTCCACTGCAGATCCCTGATTGATCCTAGGGAAAGATTACAGGCACGTTGTCCTGGGGGGTTATGGGTGCACAGACCCGCTATTTAACAAGCATTTTTATCCCAATGGTCTAGTGGTTGGGATTATGACATGGTATCCCAGCGAAGGTCTCGAGTTCGAATCCCAGTGTGTGCACCTCGGGCATCCCAGTGCGGGGGGTGTCAGAGGTCCACTGGAGATCCCCAGTTGATCCTAGGGAAGGGCTACAGGCACGTTGGCCTGGGGGGTTGCGCACTGACCCGCTAATTAACAAACCATTTTATCCCAATGGTTTAGTGGTTGGGATTCTGATATTTTTAGCCACTAGTGAATGCGCGCACATGCCAGTGACAGTGCCGAATGGGAAGGCGGGGCACGAGACTGTGGACGAACCCTTGACAAGAGTGGTGAAGCTTGAATCAGCTCCCAGGAGAGGAATGGGTGTTGCGTAGGGTTTGAAGGAGAGTGTCTCCTTGAGCATTGTGTGAGTGGCCCCGCTGTCGAGTGTGAATTCTATGTATTGTGGTGCCTGTGATGAGCCGATGTACAGCGAAGTTGCTTCATTAATCATGGCAGTGCCAGGGAACAACAAGTTGATGCGCACATCAGTAGGAGCACTATCACTAGCATTAGCCTGAGCAGGATCCTTTGCCTCAACTACATTAGCCTTACGAGGACGCATCCAATTCGGCGACTTCTTGTCGACTCCATGGATGGCATACCATTCGTCGTCTTTCTTCTTGAAGCACGTGGCGAGGGGGTGGTTAGTGCCACCACACACTTGTCCCTTGCAGTTGCCATACTTGACGATGTAGGTGCTTGGAGGGAAGCGGTTGCGCTGAAAGGGCGCCGAGGCGAGTGCCGATGCGACACTTGCTTGAGGCACGGGAGCACGGAGGGCGTAGGCCTTGGCTTGGGCCGAGGAGTTTTTTTCGGTGCAAAGGAGGGCGAATGAGACTTTAGCAAAGGTGAGGTCTTCCGCCGAGGACGTGGTGAGGCCAGCAAGAAGGACGTGGTGAGGCCAACAAGAAGGACGTGAGGAGCATTTTCCTTGTGACTTCGTATGCCGAGGTGAGGCCAACAAGAAGGGCGGCCGCAGGAGCTTGTTCGGGGAAGATGATACCCAGCTCCTTGAGCTCGCCATGGATGGTTTGCACCTTGGTGATGTAGTCAGCCATTCCCGGGCAATACTCAAGGCGGACTTGAAACATTCTAGGAATGAGGATGGCCACCCCGACCGCCGTCTTATTCATGAACCTGTCCTGGAGATGCTTCCAAATGGCGTTGGAAGTGGGGTAGTTGTGGAACGTGTTGACAAGTTCGGGAGGAGTGGAGCCGATGAAGACGCTAATGATAGCCACATCGGCCTTCTCCCACTTGCGGTACTTGGCAACAGAGTCCTCGTACTCCTGGGTTGCCACAGCATCGGTTGGATCGGACAACTCCTTGGGGATGGGGGGTTGTTTTCCCTTGCCATGATTGAGAAGAACGTCCTTAAGATCAAGACCACCCACTTCACGACTCAGGAGGAGCTTGTCAACCCCGTAGCTCCATGCCTTGAAGTTGGAGCTAGTGCCGTCGGCCTCAAGGCGGAGCGGGGTGATGGGGTTGGCGAGAGTGGCCGAGTCAAAGGCCATGGCGAAGAACCCTTTAGGTCTCACGTGAAGCGCCGCTCTTGAGTCACCGATAGGAACTTGAGGTTCAGGGTTTCCAAATGAGAATTTGAAGAACTTGGGGTTTAGGGTTTACGAAAGAGAATTGTGAGGTTTATGGTTTCCGAAGGAGAAAATCCGAGGGACGCGGAGAGCGAAAAGCTTAAATGTCGGCTGCTTTGGAATGTCTTGTAGAAGGAATTTTAAGGCCGATGAAAGTAGGTCAAATCGGCCGATTTCGGTGGCTAACCTTATTCCCACACACCCCCCCACACACCACCCTCAGCTTCGCGGCTATGCTGTTGCTCAGCTTCGCTGCTACACGGCTGCTCAGCTGCGTAGCTGCACCTGTTCAGCTGCGGAGTGCCGTTGCGGGGCGACGGGCGGCAGCCCGACGAGAAGATGCAGGGCGACGGACGGCGGCCTGACGAGAAGCTGCAGGGCGACGGGCGGCGGCCCGACGAGAAGAAATGGAGCGAAGACGATGGACGAAAAAATGTGATTGGTTAAAGCGCCGACGATGCGCTTACCAGAGAAGTTGCGAAAGTCGTCGAGAAGGGAGAGTGGCGCGGGATAATTTCCGGCCAAAGAAGTCGCGAATCACCGGCGACGGGATTGATGGCGGCTATGCCGAAGAAAGCGGGACAAGAGCTCGTTGAGATAGGAGGATCACGATACGCGTGTGCAGTTGAATCGCTCTGATACCATGTTAGAACTTGAGCTTAGAATCCATGCATTAGTAATGAGCTCAAGGCTCTTTTAAGTACATTGGAAATGGGCAAGGTAAGGGTGGGGAGAGAATCGGGGGCAATCCTAGAGAATTGGGGGTAATCCCAAGGCAATATCCAATTGGTGGGTTGGAGATTGCGTGGAGATCACATTTGGGTTTGGTTGGGATGTGGGTGTACACCCAACCAAACACAAAGTGCAAACTACACTAAAGTATGATATAAAAAGTACAAGTACAAATCTGAGATTGAGGGCTAACATTAACACTCTCACCCTCCCTCGCTCCTCTCGCCCTCCCCCGCTCCTCTCGCCCTCCCTCGCTCCTCTTGCCCTCCCTCGCTCCTCTCGCCCTCCCTCGCTCCTCTCGCCCTCCCCCGCTCCTCTCGCCCTCCCTCGCTCCTCTCACTCTCCCCCGCTCCTCTCGCCCTCCCTCGCTCCTCCTCCCTCGCTCCTCTCGCCCTCCCCCGCTCCTCTCGCCCTCCCCCGCTCCTCTCGCCCTCCCCCGATCCTCTCGCCCTCCCCCGCTCCTCTCACCCTCCCTCGCTCCTCTTACCCTCCCTCGCTCCTCTCGCCCTCCCCCGCTCCTCTCACCCTCCCTCGCTCCTCTCGCCCTCCCTCGCTCCTCTCACCCTCCCCCGCCATCTGTTACCCTTCCCACACTCAGCCACTCACCAGCAGCGCCAGTCACTCCTTCCCCCTCCCCCCCCCTTCCTCATCCACTCACCAGCAGCGCCAGCAGCAGTGCGATGCTGTGGGGCTCGCGAGCGAAGAGCTCCGAGTTGATCACCCCTGGCGCCACACCACCCGCTGCTGCTGCTGCCCTGTGCTGCCCCACCCTGCTTCCCTGCTAGGCCACTCCCAGCACAACCACTAACCAACATCTCCCTCTCCCTACACATCCACTCACCAGCAGCGCCAGCAGCAGGGCAATGCTGTGCGGCTCGCGTGCAAAGAACTCCGAGTTGATCACCCCTGACGCCACTCGCTGCTGCTGCCCTGCCCTGCCATGCCCCCACCTCTCTGCCATACCCGCCCCCTTCCCCTCCCCCGTGCTGCCTGCCCCCCACTCTTCCCCCCGTTTGCCTACTTGCCTGCACTCCCTTACTCGCCCGCCTATCACCCTAACGACTCACCAGCAGTGCGAGCAGCAGCGCAATGCTGTGGGGTTCCCGCGCAAAGAGCTCCGAGTTGATCACCCCTGGCGCCACCCGCTGCTGCTGCTGCCCCCACTCCCTCTCCCTCTGCTCCGCGCCCCCTCCTCCTGCCCCTGCTGCCAACCCTGCCACCAGCACCTCTAGAGCTCCCCGAATCTGCCAGAAGAAACAGAAGGAAAAATGATGCAAATGAAAACAAAAAAAGTAGTAAGGGAAAAAAAAAAGACAGAAAATCACAAAGAAGGTGATAGGGGGGTGAAAGTAGGGGATTGAGTATCGGGGATGGGGGATGGGGTAAAAAGAAAGGGTTGAGAGACCATCCAAGAGAGCAAGAGGCATGGCGAGAGTAAGAGGCATGGCGAGAGCAAGAGGCATGGCGAGAGCAAGAGGCATGGCGAGAGTAAGAGGCATGGCGAGAGTAAGAGGCATGGCGAGAGTAAGAGTCATGGCGAGAGTAAGAGTCATGGCGAGAGCAATAGCTTCTTTACTATCAATCTCATAGCTCACTTGCTCTCTTATCCCTGACTCCCCTCAATGAACCACTCTCTCATTCATTCATTCACTCACTCACTCACTCACTCACTAGCTCAATTCCAAACATCGCCAACCCCACGCTCCCTCACCCCTCACTCATTCCCTCAGTCAACCACACAATCCCTCGCTTCCTCACTGACTTCCTCTCACATTTCCTCACTCACCCCCATGCTCCCTCACTCACTCCCTCATTCCCCCACTTACCAGGTCCACGTCCTCTCGGTCCTCTCGTAGAACGGATAGAAGCACAGGGATACCTGCCACGTCACACACATGTGCATACACACGCACGCACGCACGCACGCACGCATGCACGCACGCATGCACACGCACATGCACACGCACATGCACCCAGCTCACACGCCTCAGCCGCACACACAGCAAGTCACAAGGAAGAAGTGGGGGATGAAAGAAACGGAATGCTGAAGTGGGTGACAGTAAGAATACGTGCTTGCAAGAGGCCGCTCGTTATTGCACGCAAAGCACAATTTGGTGCGACTCGCATTGCACAGGAACGGTTCCCCCCCTGCAATGCAGCGTACTGTCTGTGTGACACTCGGACACTCGGTCGCCTGCTGTGCGACAGGGCTGTTCGTGACGACGTGCTGCCTGTGCGACGTCTGTGCGACACTAACTCACCCATGGCTCCCAGCGCCTGCTGTGCGACAGGGCTGTCCGTGACGACGTCGCGCAGGTCGGCCATGGCGGACTGGCGATCCTCTGCGAGCACTCCATTGCTAATGCGATCCAGCAGCCGCTCCACTCCGCTGATAACGCGTACAAAGTGTAGGGTTTCATGCGTGCAACGGAAGGGAAACGTAAGACGAGGAAAATGAGTAGATTGCAGAAAGAGGATTTCCTATTGGCAGCAAGAGTCGCCACACAAGCATGAAACTTAAAGCGGATATAATCCAAGGACCAACTTCTAAGGCAATCATATCGCATAGGGGACACCAATGTAATTCAAACAGTGGCACGACGTCGCAGGTCGTCGCTTACCCGTCGTCTTCCTGGTCGTCGCCGCTTCCGAACACGAGCCCCCCCACCCCCTGCGCGACGGCGCCCAGATTTAACCGTCCGAGCTTGAACGCCATGGCCGGACGATGAATTTAATTACTCCGAAAAAACTCTACTACTGAGATGACCGAATCTGACACCTAGCTAACACTAGGACTGTAATAACGCTACATACGAATGATGTTACCCCCTCTTGCTACAGTATTTCAGCTGGACATTCGGCAACCACAGGCAAAGGCTGAAGCTGCGAAATCTGAAGCAGAGGCTGGCTGCTCGTCGCGGGATAGATAGACGGACTCTGAAACAACTCAATCGAAACTCGATAGATAGACTGACCGACGAATTATCGATACCTCGGCCTATGAGCTTGTTACTGGAGCAAATCTCTTCAAAAAAATCACGAGATTTCGTGAAAGAGCGAGCCACGTGGCTCGAAACGAGAGGGCAAGAAAAGAGCACACGTAAGCTTTTGCAAGGAAATGCAGAAGCGACTGCAATCGGATAGATATTTCTCCCTCCACAACGACTACCATCTAGGAGAGCAGCGGAATATGGCGGTAGTACTGTACTTCAACCACCACAGCAGCACAAGTCGCTGCAGAAAGGTGATGAGGTGAATTATGACGGATTATGCGCGAGAATTCGAGAATCCCCGCGATTCGCGGAGCGGCTAGGCGGCAGAGGTGGTAACCTTGGGATTGGTGTGAGAAGGAGGAACGCGTTTGATGGAGAGGCTGCTGGGCTAAGCGCGCTTCATCAGAAGCAGACCCGAGTCAAGCGTTACGACGTTGACCCATCATTGGGTGTAGCTATGCCGTTTAGAGGATATGTTACATTACTAGTTTCTATTTTTTTTTTCATGCTACTGTGACACGCACAGATCATATGGTAGGTTAAACAAGCTGTAAGAATATAAATACCAAATTCCAGACTCAGCAACACGCTTCATTGCACTCTAGGGACAACAGCAGGGCCCTCGTTAGCAGACTAATTTAGTCTGTTGGTCTAGGTTTCAGGCACGAACTGTGTAGTTCATATGCTGCGGCAGACTTTAGGTTATGGGCCATATGTGAGCCAAGACCAAGGCTATAGCATCATATGTTTTTTCAGGAAACTTATATAGATTCGTCTGATCAAGCAGAAATCGCGTATTGATTCGTCTGATAGAGACAAAATAGCCCAGTTGGCCAGAGGAGCAGCGATGTGTTGCATGTGAAGGCACGCGTAATGATTTCTGCGTGAGGGAACGGGGGTGAATTTCGGATTCTTCCTGCCAGCGCATACTGCATCTGACTCAGTTGCTGCCACGCATCTGTTGGGTAGCTGTTGTCGGCGCCGCTGCCAGGCTGTTGCACCCCACCTCGCTGGCAGAGGTCAAGGACAGTCGGTGCACACCAAAACAAAGCATGCACCCACCTTCGTGAAACCCTCGTGAGAGAGGCGCGGCGCGGTTCGTGAGGTGATGGTCCCTTCCCTTCCTTTCTTCTCCAAGCCTTTATTTGACAACCTGCCTTTGCCTTTCAATCTTTGACGCCTAGCCCAAAGCATACTTATCGTCCCGTAGCTTGTTCCCGCGTACCGTCTAGAATTCCTGTGTTGCTACTGCCTCATGTGATGTGATACACCACCTCACACCATGCTATATGGCGCCCTCGAGTCAACCGACGGCGCTATGCGTGATCCACCCGGGATACCTGACGAGCCACAGGTTTCTGCGTTATATTTCCTAACCCGTAAAACTCCGGCAGCAATTCCTGTGACCACCACTGCCGCAGTCGAGACGCCTCCGCCTGTAATTCCTTCCCCCAACGTCATCACATCATGCAACGACGAGCCGCTTATCCCCTCGAAATCCACGTCAGACGCTACTGAGACTACGACCCAGCCTAACCCGGCTGAAGCTGAGTCTTCGCCGCAACCCGTTTCGGCATCTGTGGCCACAACTCTACCGGCGATTTCTGTTTCTCGCATCAGAGCAGGGAACGGTAAATACAAACAGCGAATTCTGAGCTTTGCCCGTCCCACTGCAGGTGTCCCGCCAGCAACCGTCCCCCGCTTTAGCACACCTCGCCCGGGCCCGTCACAGCCCGTCGCCGCCAACGACGACGACAAGTATCCGCGCGTCTTGACCGTCGAGCAGTGGCAGCAGAAGGCCAACGAGAAATGGCTCAAGCACTTCCCGTGGCTCATCATCTCGGAGACTTCATGGGGTCAACCCTGCATGAGGTGTTCAATCTGCATGGTGCACGGAGACCCCAGCTACCAGTACGGCCGCGATGGAGAGGGTGGGCTTGACATTCAACGACAGACGATGCGGAAACATCAGCATTCCATCAAGCATGAGGCGTCACTGGACCGCCAACAGTTGCGTGACTGCAAGAATGCTGCTCAGAAGTCGATTGTCGACTTTGAAAACGGTGACGGGGAAGCCAATCGTTTGACAAAACTCCTGGCAACAGTTATTTTTATTTGCAGAAGCGACTCACCCATTGTGCTGTTTGTGACGCTGGTCCAGTTCATGGCAGAGATGGGCACGCCCGACATGCCCCTGAAGGATCCCGGCACCTACTACAGCGAGTAATTGTTATGTTTTTTTTGCGCGTCCTTTAGTTGGAAACCACGGTACTAATTACCTTCTCTCTGGTCGTTACAGGTACGGGTTTGCGCAGTTGGTTGAGACGCTCGTCATCTACCTCCGTGCTCAACAGATGAAGCACATCCGGGAGAGTCCTTACCTGGGCATTCAATTGGACGAGAGCACGGACCGTCGGCGCGGGAAGCACCTGATAGTCTACTTGTCGTTCCTCCGCAGCAACACTCCAGTCACCGAATTTTTCGCACACCTAACAGTTGAGCAGTGCGATGCTGGTTCCCTGCAGGCAGTCCTTCTAACCCACCTGGAGTCTACCGGCCTCGACCTTGAGCGCATCAGTGGCATCAGCACTGACGGTGCAAGCGTCATGGTCGGTTCTCAGACGGGCCTGGTGGCACGCCTTCGTGCACGGATTCCACACCTCGCCGGGTTCCACTGCATCGCGCACAGGTTTGTAACCCTGTGATATTATGCTCACCTTTTAAGCGTTGCATATGTATCTAACTTGTTGCTTTTTCCGTGTTATGTCAGGGAAGCTTTGGCCGCAAAGGATGCAGCAGAGGCCTACCCCGACCTTGACATCGTCGACCATGTCGTCCGTTCCTTAGCGGAGCTCCTTGGACGGTCGGGCAACTTCCACCTACGCTTCAAAGAGCTGCAGGAGGTGCTGTGTGAAACGAACCTGGAGTTGCAGGGCATCCACAGCGTCAGGTGGCTTTCACGTGGTCTGGCGGTTCAGCGACTGGCTGACAACCTTCCAGCTGCTGTCATTCTGTTGTACGAGAACGACCCGAAGGCGTACCTCGTTGTAACCAGTTTGAAATTCCATTTCATGCTGTTTTTTTTTGCTGATGTGTTGAAGGAACTCAACGCACTGAACCTCAAGTTCCAGCGACGGCAGGTACGCTGTTACGCCTCTTGCTGTTAACTGTTTTTAGTGTTAATGAATCGTATTAATGAGATATTTACCCGTGCGTGCCTTTCCACTGCCTCTCATGTGTGTGTGGCAGGTCGACGTGACACACGTGCTGCAGATGGTGGACAACACTAGGCTCACCCTTCGCAACCGTTACCTGAGTGACGCGGACGACTTCGGCGATGGGAGCAACGAGCTGAGCGCCTTCTTGTCGAAGCACGCTTCGTCGGAAAAAAGGGAAGTGAAGGTGACGGGCACCGACTCGACTGGCGCCCCAACTACTCATGAGTACACCCTCCATGAACAGAACATCAAGGGTCAGATATCTGGCCCGGGCCTGGACGACTGCATCACACTGGCGAAGGGGTACGTGAAGGAGCTGCTGAAGCGACTGGAGAGCCGGATGAAGGATCTGGGCTCTCTCGACGGCGCCAAGCTGTTCACGCAGGGGGCGTACCCGAAATCTCACTCGAAGCGGCAGCGTCGGTTTTTGCAGTGGCTGGAGGCTCTCCGCAATCTGTTTAAGCGGAAACCGTCCGACCCTGACACCCTGCCTGGTACGTCTTCGATTTCGGTTGTCATTTATTGAATTTTCTATGTTTGTGTCACGTTATGCTTCGTTGGTTGTATGAGTTTGTGTACTTATTCTCATTAAACAGCTTGTATTCTCATTAAACTGGTTTCTCATTCACACCCCGCCACAAGGAATCAACTGGACGAGAGCACAGAAGGAGATCAGCAGTTTCACCACGATCATGTCGACACAAGACCGCGAGCTGAGCTTCCAGGACGGCCTGAAGCAGATGCTCAGCTCGCCCGATTGGTGCACGGCCTACCCCAACCTGGTCCGCCTTTGGATGGCGGTCGCAGTGCTGCCCCTGAGCACCGTGGAGTGCGAGCGGGGCTTCTCCCGCCAGAACGTCATCAAGAGCTGGCTACGCGGCAATCTCAACGACGCGAAGCTTGGCGACCTGATGACCATCTCCATGCTGAAGTACGAACCTAACTGGCCCGCCCTTGTAGAGCTGTGGAGAGGTGCGAAGAAGAGACGCCCAGCCAAGGATGTCGTGATGGTGCATGCGCAAAGGCCTGTGAAGCGCACGAGGAAGACCCTTGCGATGTTGGCCGCGAAGCAGGCGGCAACAACAGCAGCAGCAGCAGCAGAGGCTGCTGCTCGTGAAGCAGCAGCTGCAGAAGAAGCAGCCAGGCTAGAGGAGGAGTTGGGCCCCTGGCAGAGACGGGCAGACCATGGCAAAGAGCACATTGCTTCAGATTCAGAGCTAGACGGGGACGACGAGGAATATTCTTCTCATGATAGCGATAGTGAATCCTAGTTCAATATGAATGTATGGTTAACTGTAGTAATAGAGTAGAGTAGAGTGTAGTCTATGTGAAGACTATATAACTAAATAAATGTCTGATTTCGCGAAAATCTGTCTGAGCCGACATACTAACTTATAAAATCCGTCTGAGGCAAAGACCACCAGGAATCCTCCATATGAGGGCCAGACGATTTTTTTTTTTTCATGGAAAACGTCAGACGGGCCTAAAAGTTAGCAAGAGCCCTG